AGGGTAGGGGCCTGGAAGCCCCCAGTGGCATGTGAAAGGAAAGAGAGGAAGAGAAGGAGAAAAAAACACGACTGAGACTGACTGCAGTGGGAAAGAGGGAGGAATAAAATAAAGAGTAAGAGATACCCTGTTTCCCAGAAAGTAAGACAGCCCCTGAAAATAAGACCTACTTACAGTTTTGCCTCTCACTAAAATATAAGGCATCCCCCTGAAAATAAGACCTCCCCGAAAATTAGGCCTCCCAAGCTACCGTAATTCTGGACTCTTGACTGTAGCACTGCTGCGCAGCTCAGTATTGGCCGCAGCGCAGACAGGAAGTGCAAGGTCTCTTTTAATAAAACAATAAACAATAAATATGTACTGTGTTCTTCTTCATGGAAAAATAAGACATCCCCTGAAAATAAGACCTAGCGCATCTTTGGGAGCAAAAATTAATATAAAACACTGTCTTATTTTCTGGGAAACAGGGTAGTTGAGCCCTCATCGCCTAAACATAGGGCTGGAGGGGTTTAAATCCTGCGCCAAAGTGGCAGGTGGGTGTGGCCTTTGGGTGTAGGGTCCCACGGGTGCTGGGTGGTATTGCCCTAGGTGGCAACATCACCGTGAAGGCCAGGAGGAGGCTCCCTCAGCAGCCTGGAGCACTGTAGAGGGCTGTTGAAGCTGCCTGTGCATGTTAGGCGCAGCACTCGCACAGAGGGCAGGCTGGAAGTTCCACCACCACCCCTTGTGGGGGCAGAGTTCCCCTAGGCTGAGGGTAGTGGCCTGGAATCATAGGAAAGAGAGGAAAGGAAAAAACAAAACAAAACTGGGCCTGCTGAGGCTGACTGCGGTGAGAAAGAGAGGCGAGAGAGAAGAAAAAGAAGAAAACAGTAAGGAGATAGCTGAGCCCTAATTGCTTGGCCATGGGGTCAGAGAGGATCCAACCTTGTGTCAAAGAGACCGGGTACTGTGCCCGCTTTGGTGTAGGGCCCCACAGATGCTGGGCGGAATTACCCTCCTAGGCAAGATCACAGTGGAGGTCAGGCAGGTCCCCAAAGCGGTGTGGGGCGCTGGAGATTACTGGTTTAGCTGCCTTGTGACGTTGGCAGCACTGCAGCAGGCGGAGGGGGGGGGGGCAGTTCCCTCAGCTGCGGGTAGGGCCCCAGGACAGGCAAGGGATTCCCCCAGTCACAAGAAGGACTGTAAGGGACAGGCAGGATTTCCCCAGTTGCATGTAGGTCCACTGAGGGTGGACAGTGGCCCCTCCTCCCCTTTGGGCTTGTGGTTTGCTAGTGGACACATTCTACAGGTTTGTCTTGGAGTTACACAATGAGCTGGATTTGAAGTTTTTACGAAGAAAATATTTTTTATCCTTTTTTATATTGGGTTGGCGGGGTGCCCTGATTTCGCAGCTTGTCATCAGGGAGGAGATCTAGCTTACCAGAGAGGTTGTTTGCTTCTCAGCCACCTGGAACTGACTTCGCCCCAAGAGCTGTCCGCTAACTGCGATCTGACACAGATAATTTCTGGACATCTTTTTAATTGTTGCACATCCATGGCTATCCATGCCAACCACCAGACTGAGAACACAGGGCACCCAACAGCGTGAGATCTCTGGTGTGGGGTCTTGTGACCAGCTTTCAGAGGCTCTCCTGGGGTCTGGGATCACGACCACTTTTAGACAGCAGCCTGCAGGAAGAGGACACCGAGGGGCTCGGTCTGGAAGGAGCCCATAAGCCAAGCACAATGAACCAAGAGCATCTCAGTACTTTATCAGTTCACTTTATGAATGAAAATCAAAAAAAGCGGGGAGCTGGACCAGAACCTAGTACCCTGATTCAAATTTTAGTACTTGGCCTCCTCTTCTCATTCTCCTTTCCTGGTCTGGCCGCAGGAGCTCCGGGTGGGTAAATCTACCTGGATGCCATCTTTCCTCTCTCTCCCAAAATTGCGATTTTCACGCACCCTCAGGAAGAGTGTAGAGTTCACTTAGATGGAATGTATCACAGTACAGAAGCAATGGTGGATGCCTTCGAACAAGGGTCTGAATTTATTCTGCTTATGATTGGGAACTACAGAATACTTTAACTGAGAGAAGAAATCCCATGACAAAAATAGGTTTGGGTACTGAAGAAACTTGATTATAAGACTTTTGTTACATTTGCTGAATTTGACAATTATTTGAAATGGTAAGATTTTAATTTATTATATTTTTTAGTAAAAATATCTGAACCATGCTAAATTTTATTTTTCAAAGTTAAGCAATGCTTTTCAGGTTAGTTTTATTTTTTCATTCTTTTCATCAGTCTAAAAATAATTTGAGGTGTTTATTAGTGTGCTATAGGGCCACTATAACAAAATACTGTAAACCGAGTGACTTACAAGGAGATAATTTACTATCTTATGGTTTAGGAGGCTATTAGTCTGAATTTGAGGAGTCTAAAATCCATGTTCATTCCAAAGGCACTAGGAGTGGGTTCCTTCTTGCCTCTCTCAGCTTCTGGTTGCTGCTGTTTGCCCCAGTGAGTCTATTCTGACTCATAATGACCTCACCTGGCTAAGCCTAAGGAGAGCTTCCCCAAGAGGAGCAGATCGCTAGGTCTTTTCTCCTGAGGAGCCATAAATGTGTTCAAACTGCTTGGTTAGCAGCTGAGCAAGTGTCCAATGTAACACCAAGGTGCCTTCAGTTTCTTGTGGCCTCAGGCACCCCTTGGTTTGCAGCTGATATCTCACACTAATGTCGGATATCTACCTTTCCTTCATGCCTCCACGTTGGTTCTTCTCTATTTACAACTGGTTATCTTCCAAGATACTATTTCCACACAAAGTCTCATCATAAGTACCAGGAGTTAGGTCTTTCACATATCTTTTGGGGGCACTTCATTGCTTCAAGTGAGGAGGACTTGAAGCACTTACCGATGAAGATCAAGGACTGCAACCTGCATATGCGTTTCATAATAATATAAAGAAAACCAAAATCCATACAACTAGACCTATACACAACACCCTGTTAAGCAGAGAAAGAATGAAGTTGTCAAGGATTTCACTTTTCTTAGATCGGCAATCAATGTTCATGGAAGCAGCAGTCAAGAAATCAGATGGTGCATAGTGCAAATCTGCTGCACAGGACCTCTTGACTTCTAGCACTAAGGTGCACCTGGCCCAAGCCATATTGTAGTCAGTCAGCTCGTGCGCATGTGAAAGTTGGACAGTAGACAAGAAAGACTGTGAATGCATCCAAATTCTGTTGTTGTCAGAGAATGCTGAAAGTACTGTGGACTTCCAGAGGAAGCAAATATGTCTTGGAAGAAGTACATCCAGAATGTTCCTTAGAAGTCAGTAGGGCAAGACTTTGTATCATGTACTTTAGACACACTAGCAGGAAAGACCACTCCTGGGAAAGGACATCATGCTTGGTGAAACAGACGTCAACAGCAAGAAGAGAAAGCCTCCCAAGGAGACAGATTGACACAGTGGCTGCAATGATGCCTCAAATATAAGTCAGGAGGATGACTTAGGACTTGGCAATGTTTCACTTTCTTGTACATAGGGTCACTATGCGTCAGAATAGACTCCACAGCACCTAACAATCAAACCTTTGACAAGGCACATAGGCAAGGAAATATTATAAGATAAGATATATTAAATTGACATAGAACTCAGAGGGAAGGTATAACGACAGGGAGGTGGCAGAGGGACTGTAGCAAAGGGGAAGTTAACAAACAAAATATCAACCACAAAATTCTATAATTCTATGTACATATTATATTGTCAAGTAAGTAAACTGTAGGATTTCTATGAACCAAAGGACACATGGAAATAAAGATTATTTATAAGATAAATGTCTGTTAGTTGCTCAAAAAAGAAAATTCTAACTGGGGCAGGGGTGGGGGAGGGTTTAATAAAAAGATATGCTATATGCTCGCTGCCCTATAAGGAAAAATTGACCATATCATCAACAATATTCATATGATACATGCATTAACTAGCTTTATAAGCTGTTTCTTATAACTACTTGGAATATCAGCTGAAATATCACTTAAAAGCCTAATTACCAAAGGTAAATATGTTGGACTAGTCTATCATGCTGGAAAGGGAATTGGAAACCATCCCTTCCCCAAAGAGTTATGAATCTAGGCAGTCTGTGCTTGAAATTATATGATTCCATTGAAATATGATTTTTTTTTAATTCCAGGAATGTCATTTTAAAGTGAAAAACCTTACAGAAGGGTTATATATCAAGTCATTAACTCTGTATCCTAAACTTACTACCATCAAGTCCACTCCACCCCTTAACAAAACTTAGTACAGAACAGCTACTAAGGATTTTTGAGACTGCAAATCTTTACAGGAGCAGACAGCCTCATTTTCCTCCCAAGTAGCAGCTAGAGGTTTTGATCTACCAACTTTGAGGTTAGAAGCCCAGTGCTTAATGTACTGTGCCACCAGGGCTCTTTAACTCTGGATAATATCATATTATTTTTCCCCTTCCATGCCAGAACCTAAGCTGTGTAAAATCTTAATTTATTAAATTGACTTATCAAAGGTGAAAGAATTTGGATAAATTCTAGATCATAATTTTAAAAAATTTCATTCTATACAAAGCATGCCATTTCCAAATTGGCAGTATTATATTAAATTATATTAGATCTCTTTCTCATAATGGGTACATTATATATCTGCCGATGTTTATCATTATTTCCAATGAAATAAATTCATTAACAATGTGATTTAAACTCTTGTAGCAGAAAGATGTGAGCTTTATAAAATGATGTTGGTTCCTTGAAAGGATATGTGTGCTTGGATAGCTCTCTACTTGGAGCCAAAAACAAGGAAACAGGAAACAAATGTGATATCTACCCCTTTACCACAAGTTATTATTTTTGTTTTTTTAGTTTTGTGTTCAAGTTCCGTGTATCTCTGAACAACTATAAAAGCACTTCCTGGAAATAAGAAAACACAAAGCGTATGTCCTAATTGATGTGGCTCTACGCTACCCACTGGGGAGGATCACAGACTGACAAATACTGGAATTGTAAGAGAAGACATTGGATTTTGCCAAGTCCCTGGACCGCTGAGTTCACGTGCAGTCCCAGTGAAGCCATGATGGATGAAGATGGATACCTAACAATAAATATTAAAGATCGAAAACCAGCTCTCAATGCAGGTAAAATAAGCTAAATCTATCCTCTCCCTACCCCACCCCCCTTTATACTCAGGATAGCACATAAACTATTATGTTTTGTTTTTCCGAAGACAATCTTTATCTGCTGTTTCTCCGTACTATTTACATAGATTCAGACCGACTTATTTAGAAGAAAAATATGTAGGAGACAAACAACATGATTGTAAGTGTTTTAGAGTATAATGCTTGAAGTCAACAGAATGGGAACGTCAGATGAAGGAATGTTTGGAAGTCACCATTTCTCAAGACTCCACTAAGTGTGTGTCATGTTCTAGTAGTTGCTTATTAAAGCAATATTTACTGAGGAAGTGGACACAGAGCCACCACATAATGCACTGAGTCAGTTATATTTTAACTCCAAGAGGCAAAAACCTATTAGGGATGAAAATAGGAATGGATATGTGGTGTGGGAGTGGGATGTGCTTATTGTTGATGATCCACAAGGGAACACAGACAGCATCTGTCACCTCTGTTCATTATTTCGAAAATCCTGAGAGGCGAGGGCAGAGGTGATGCCTCCCTACAGCTGTGCCATATCACTGTGTGTTGTTGTGTTGATTGTATGCCCACAGTTAACTCTGCACCCTCCTCTTCGTGGCGTGTAATGGCATTGGCTCTTCTGATCCTGTGCATGGGGATGGCTATTGGACTGGTGACTCTGGGGATTTTATGTGAGTATTGACTCATGGAAATGGGTTTGGTCTGAAGAAGGCAATACTTAAAGATCTTGGTGTATCACACTAAGTTTCTTCTTCATACTTCTATTTAGTACTATTTGAATGACCACATATCCAGCAGCTGCCAAGATTTTCTTTGACTATATTTCCTGTTAAAATATTTTCTAAGTGATTTGCTTACTTCCTCTTAGAGACCACTCATATCCCAGCTTATTGATAAATATTGTGTTCTTTTACTATAAATCTTATTAGATTTTCAATGTCACATTGTGGTTTGCACTAATTTTGCTTGTATACTTGGTTTATTCATATAAGATAGTTAAGAATACCTCCTTTTTCTGAATGAGTATTTTGAGGATATCATAAAATGAATATATTCTTGTATTACATTAACAGCAGAAAATACTAGAGACATTAAATTCTATTACTGCTAAAAAATCAAACAAATAAACCAGATTTCAACAATTGCTTTACGTGTGTTATTTGATCATGGGGTTTTCTTAAGATTTCTAAAGATTGTCTCCCTTAGATAGTTCACTCAATCTACTGGATAACACGGAGGTGTCAGTTGTATATTTTTACTTAGCATGGTTTTGATATATTCCCTTGCTTTTATCCCTTTTCAGAAATGATTTACTCGTGTATATCTAGTAAACATTTCATAGAATGCTAGTACTACTAAATTGAAAGTTCATTTAAAAGTACTGCTATTATCTAATTTTTACATTTAGCTGTCACACAACAAAATCTCCAGAAAGCTGAGAATGGAAATCTCTCAGAAACTCTGAATCAATTAGCAAAGTACTTCTGCCAAGATTTAATAAAGCAATCAGAACAAAAAGGTATTCACAGTAAGTATGCTTCAATTTCTAACATCAGAGTAATTTGTGTGTATATGTCTGGTGGTAGGGTTAGGTGTAAGGAATTGATCTGAAGGACACGCAGAGTGTGAAGAAAATGTAAGCTTGATATACAGTGAAAGATTTTAATGTTCGGTGTCTTCTTAAGACCATCAATGCAGTCCCTGTGACACTAACTGGAGATACTATGGGAATAGTTGCTATGGATTCTTCAAGCACAATTTGACATGGGATGAGAGTAAGCAGTACTGCAGTGAAATGAAAGCTAAGCTTGTCAAGATTGCCAGCCAGGAGATTCTGGTAAGGAGATTCATAAAGAGAACCTCTCAAATGCAACATTTGGCTTTTTAACATTTCTTATGTGTTCCAGTTTCTGCTAATCTATAACCCTTATCCTGCTCAATAAAAATTTCAACAGTTGAATCAGAATTCCTAATAATAATAATTTAGAAAAAAATTTTAATTACAATAGCTGAAAGTAGTAAGTGCTGCATTAGTACTGCAAAGACATTCAGTTCCTGCCCCATGACTTAATCTCGCACTGACTCCTTACCTGTGCTTACTAATTCAGGAAAAATCCGAAGGTGCATGTATTTTTTAAAACCCAATAGTACTGTAAAATATAACTAAGAGTGCTATCCCAATTTTTACTGCTATCTCGATTTCTGCTGAATTGTTGATAACTCCTTGATGCAAACTCCATTCCTTCACAGATATTACCAAACATACACTTTGGAGAATGATCTCATTTTCAAAATACACAAGATAGTGGAAGACAAATTTTTCTACTACATGTGACTCCTCTTCTATGTCTCTTTGTTATACAGCCTTTAACAAAGTCTTTCTCTTCTTTCTGATCAAGTAAATTCTGGGTCAATCAACTTTCTCTCAATTATTTAATTTTCTTTTCTCTCCTTGAACTCTAGCAGCATGCCAGAAATAAAACCCTAGAAATGCTAAATGTATCACAGCATTTTTTTAAGGTAGAAAATCCTGAAAGAGTTTGTCCTTCTGACTATATCAGGGCCATTGAGTCAATATGGATGTAAAGCAACCCTATAGGGCAGAGTAGAACTGCACCTATGGTTTTCCAAGACTATAACTTTTTACAGGAGTAGAAAGTTTCCTTTCTCCCATGTAGCTGCTGGAGAATTCAAACTGCTGACCTTGCTGTTAGTGACCCAACATCTAAACCACTATGCCCTCAGGACTCGTGACAGGATTTGTTATGGAGTTTAGGTTTTTTTTCTCATATTTTGCACATTAAAAAAATGAAAGCAAATAGAAGATCAGGATTTTTGCCCAGATAGAAACAACAGAACTCAAACACTCAGACTGTGCTAATATTATTAAATGGCTACATTGCATCAGCAAAATTGGCTCACAGCCCTGGTGGGTTTGTGTGTTGGCCTAATAGCCACAAAGCCAGTAATTATAATCCACCATATCAGGTTTTTTTTAACTCTCATAAAGATTTACAGTCTCAAAAGACAGCAGGAAATTTGACGCTGTCACTGTGAGTCAGAATAGACCCCATGGCAGTCTGTTTGTTTTTGTTTTCCTTGGAGCTAAGGCTCAAATTGGGCTTTGGAATATGAAAGTTATCTCAGTATGTCCACAATCACTGAGGTGAATTATCATTCTAACTTACTGTACAGGTTCTACTTAGTCTTTGAATGAGTGCAAACTCAAAGAGAAGATATTCAGTTAAATAAATGAACTTTTCTTTCCAGTCAGGCAAAATCAGAAAATTCCCTCAAATCTCAATTTCAATACAAAGATTGGACATGGGACATAGACACACATTCCTTGAATCTTATTCTAAATTAATCTAAGTTGATGTCAGATCCGAAGTTCATAACTAAATGGGAAATAACATAATTATGAGAGAGAGAAAAATCAATGGTTATGCTACCATATTATATAGTGAAGCATATAATGTTGATTTATCTTTAAAGAAAGAAGAAGAATTAACAGAAAGGAGAATCATAGCTCAAACTTTGAGAAATAAGTGATCAACAATGCTGTGCACGCATGCTTAGAGAATATCAGCTTATCTCTCACATGCATGTAAAGAAACCCATGCTATTTATTGGCTCCCTAAAATATATGATCACCTACTTATTTGAGAAATCATGACAATATATAAAAATATAAATATACATAATTTTGGTACCTATAAACCAAAATTAAAAGGAGGCCATATTTTTGATTAATTGAAGCTATGCAGTTAAGCAAACCCCCCTAATTTCATGGAGTCTATAAATATTTCATAGATAATGAACTGAAAAATATATAGTATATAATACTATAGTGTTGATGTTACTGTTGTTTTTACCATGAGTTGATTCCCCCTCATAGACTTCCAATGTAACAGAGCAGAATTGCCTCATAGAATTTCCTAGGTTGTGATCTTTAAGCAGCAGGTTCACAGGTGCTTACTCCATTTGAGTATCTGGTGGGTTCTAACCACTTATCTTTAGTTAGTAATTGAGTGTTTATCCATTATACCTCCAGGTATAGATTTTTAGAAAGTATAGATTTTTTTTTTAACAATATCAATGAAAAAACCCTCCCATGCCATTGAATTAATTCTAACTCATGGTAACCCTAAAGGACAGACACAGTAAGACTATCCCATAAGGTTTCCTAGGCTGTTAGCCTTTGCGAAAACAGATGGCTACACCTTTCTCTTGTGGAGAAGTTAATGGATTCTCACCAGCCACCTCTGTTGGCAACCAAGCACTTAACCACTGTGTCACCAGGGAGCCTCTCATAAAGTATAATAGTGATCATTCTTAAAAGAAAACAATGAATCAATAAACCAAATCCAAACTCACTGCCATGAAGTCCCTTCTGATTTATAGGGACTCTGTAGGACAGGATAGAATTGCTCCTGTGAGTTCCCAAGACGGTAACTTGACAGGAGTAGAAAGTCCTGTCCTTCTTTCCCAGAAAGGGCCCTGGTGGTATAGGAGTTATGCACTGGGTTGCCATCCACAGGGTGGGCAGTTTGAAACCACCAGCAATGAACTTGTTTTTTTGTCCCACGGAGCAGCTGGTGATTTCCAACTGTTAATAGCACAAGTAACTGCCTTGCCACCGACCAAACCAAGCCAAATTCGCTGACTCATTGAGACCCCCTGCTGGTTCCCAAGACTGTAACTATTGACAGAAGTAGAAAGCCCAGTCTGAGTTCCGCTGAGTTGCTGCTAGTATCGAAGTGGCCACTCTGCAGATTACAGTCTAAGTAAGACATAAACACTCCACCACCAGGGATCCTTCCCAGAGCTCCTAAATCAGAAAAAATTAGACAAATAATATTCTTTACAAATCCTTTTGGAGACAAAACACCATATAATTGTTTTTTTACCCCGTGAGGTAATAAATCATTACTTCTACATGAAAGATTTTATAGACATCCTATGCAGGAAAATCAATTCAGAGAGAGCTAAATTCCAGGAAACAGAGTCTTAACACTGACGGTTTCATTCTCTTTAGTTGTTTACCAGTTGCCTTCCGGGCATTCTGCCTCTGGTCCGCCACATTGTTTCGGAATGGAACTGCACTCCATCAGATTTTCAATGGCATCAGGCCACATGGTCATCCTGAGGTGTCTCTAGCTGAACTCTAACCTCCCGCTGAGCGTATGAACCATTTCCTCCACCCAGAAACGATGTTGTTCTTTACTGCTTACCCTGTTTAAGATTCATAGCTGCTATTCTATGTCATAACAACTTTAAATAGAAAGCAAAATAATAAATTGAAGGTGAAATACTTTAATTTTCATCCAGTGGAAGATATAATCCTATAAACACAGCAGAAGATTAAAATATATTTTATGTAGATGCAAGTTTGCATATTTTTTAAATCTAAACCAAGTCAATTTGGTAATATTCAAAATACTAATATAAACCTATAATCCAACCATTTACTTCTTGGTCAAATTTCTTAGCATAGAATCATTGTCTGTAAGCCATCACCAAGAGTGATGGAAGCATCCTGACCACTATCTATATTTATCTTTACAATAGAAATATATTAAAGGCAGAACTGGTTTGATTCGTTGGGTTGGATTGTCGCGACAGAACTCCGATGGGGTCTGGATGTGGGAAGATGGCTCAGTTTTCTCCAAAAACATGTAAGTTACTAGATAATAGGAATCTAAGTCACTCACAGTAACTTCTGTTCTTAATATGCCCTTGAGTGCAAGTTCCTTATCAGCTCTGTGCCTTACTGTGAGCAACAGAAGTAGCAGCTCCTCTCGGTTTAGGAGTAACTTGCCTTCTAACAAAAGACCACGGATCATAGAGCAACTCTGTCTTCCCTCCTCCCCGTCTTCTCTTCATCCAAACCACAGCGCACAGGTCTAGTTCTGGTTTCAACTTTACCACTGGGGCATTTTGTTTGTTTTTCCTTTCTTTGATAGCTTCAACTTACTTTTTTGAACAAAATTATTATCCTTATCTTGTGACGGAATGTTTTGTTTTGGGGATGCCATTGCCTTTTCAGAAACATTTGTTTACTTTTCCACTCTATAGATCTCTACGAGCCAAACACTTTATAGTTCACAGAGAAATTCTAATGTTAGATCACGAAGGTCCGTTTTACTAGACAATCCAGTCAAATTTTGCATTGCTATTGTTGATAGGTGCCATTTTGATGATTCTGACATGTAGCAACCTATATATACAATGTAATGAAACACTGACATATCAGCACCAATAAATCTAATAATAACTTAAATTATTAATTAACTGATTCACATCGTTTTTTTCTATGGGTCACTAAAGGTTTGAAGAACAAGGATGTCACTTTGAGATTAAGGTGCTCCTGACCCAAGTCATGGTATTTTCTATCACCTCATATGAATGTAAAAGTGGGATATTGAATAAGGAAGATCAAATAAGAATTGATGAATTTGAATTACGGTGTTAGCAAAGAATATTGAAAGTACAGTAGACTGCCTGAAGATCAAAAAAGTTTGTCTTGGAAGGAGCACAGCCAGAATGCTACTTAGAAGCAAGGAAGGCAAGACTCTGTCTCATGCCCTTTGGAGAGAGACCAGCACCTGGGAAAAGACATCATGCTTGTTTAAACAGAGATTCGGCAACAAAGAGGAAGAACTTGACTGAGATGGATTGACATGGTGGCTATGTCTCAATGCAGAGGCTAATATAACCACAATTGTCAGGGTGTCACAGGACCAGATAGGGCTGTACTGTGTTGTACATAAGGTCACCATGAGTAGGAACAAATCCGCAGCTCCTAACAATCACAATGGATTAGGATCCTAGGATCACTCATCTAATTTACAATATTGTTAGGTAACTTCCCTCCTTAAACTTTCAGCAAATCCATCTTGCTTTGCTGTCTGATGATATGTTGTATTTTTTGTTCCCTTCATCTAGAATGGTTTGCCTCTAGAACTAGAACTGGCTCCCCCGTTACTCAAGCCTCTGTGTAAACATCAATTCCCCAGCAAGAATAACTCTAATCACTCAAACTATGGTGTCCACACAATGAGCCCTGGTGGCATAGTTGATTACCATTAGACTGTGAGCCAATAGGTTTGTGTTTTGCAACCACCAGCTGTTCTGTGGGACAAAGATGAGACTTTACATTCCTGGCAACATATATACAAAAGTGCTTGACACAATGGATTTTTGTGTGGATTGTGATAAGAGCTGTACAAGGCCCGAATAAAATAATTTAAAATTTTTTTTAAAGATTTACAATTTCAGAAGCCCCTAGGGGCAATGTTATTCTGTCCTATTGGGTAGCTATGAGTTGGAAAAGACTCAATGGCAGTGATCTCCTAACCAAAATGTTGTCAGTTCAAAACCACCAACTGCTCCAGAGTAAAACAGATATGGCATTCATTTATATCTTGTTCATATTCATATTCTACCATCAATAGCTTGAAAACGCTGAGACAATCCTATTCCATCCTTTAGGGCTGCTATGAGAAAGAGTCGACTTGAGGACAATGGGTTTGTTAGTTTGTTTTTTGTTATCTGCTTTAATCAAGATATGCCATATTATACTCTTCATCAATCTTATCAATTCTTGTTTTATTTCAAATTTTGGCTTTGGAAAATCTTCCCACTATAAAGTATGATTCTCAAGAAAAAGGACCTTTGCCTGAACACATGAACAATGTTGGCAATACTGCCTCATTGTTGGTAGGTTCCATGAAGTCAGCTATATGCACAGCTCCCCTATGGACAACAGAATGTTGTTCCATTCCCACAATCATTACTGCCACTTTGTCAATCCACATCCTTGAGAGTGTCCCTCATTTTCACTGAACCTTTATTTTACCAAGCATGAAGTCTTTGTCCAGGAATTGATCTCTTCTGATAGATAACAGGGTCATAATATGATGATATCTTTTTATGCCCAATTCTAAAGAGCATTATGGCTGTACTTTTTCCAAAACAGATTTGTTTATTCTTCTAGCAGTTCATAGCATGTTCAATATGCTTTGCAAACACTATAATCCCAATGTCTTTGTTCTTCTGCAGTCTTTCCTGTTCATTGTCCAGCTTTCACATGTATATGAGACATTTAAAAATGTCATGGCTTGGGTCAAACACAACTTAGTCCTTAAAGTGATAGCTTTGGTTTTGTGCAGCAGATTTGTCCAATGCAATATGTTACTCGATTTCTTGACTGTTTCTTCCCTGTGCATTGATTGTTGATAAATAGTTTCAAACGATTGAAAAGATGCATATACCTTGGCGTTTCACTGTGAACAAAAAAGTATGGAATACATACAAGTTAATCGTAAATTATAGGATAATGTGTTGCCCTATATCAACTACCCTATAACAAGATTCAATGTTCGAAAATATTCATCAACTTATTTTTCCTTAAGTGCATTCCCACCTTATGCAGTTATCTGCTTTGTAGAGTACTTCTATCTTATCTATATTCTACTTGTCTCCACTAATCTAAATCTTATTCTTCCTTTAAGGCAGAATTCCATCCCCAGACTTCAAGATAAAACCTGTGCCCAAATCACAGGAAACAGAAAAACATTTTCTTCTCACTGAATGAGATAATTCAGTGGAAAGTGTCACCATTTCAGGCCTATATCCATTTCTTACTATGAATGTCTACAAAGTCTGATGCTAACTTGCTATTTAATCTTAAATTTAATCTTAAATCTTAAGTATCAAATTGCTACTTGGATTTTTTCAAATGCATATATATTGGACTCCTAAGAATATTGGAAGTTTCTCAATTGTATGAATCTTATTTTAAGATTTTCCCTTCATTGTTTACACTTTCTACCATGAAATTCTACACACAGTGTTATATTATTGATTATTGATTTAACTTTCAAATAAACTCACTCTACCCTATCCATTTACAGGATTACGCTTTCTGGTGATGCAAGAGAGAACATGAATTGTGCTTACTTTTATAATGGAAAAATCGTCCCTTCTTCCTGTGAGAGCAAACAGTATCTAATGTGTGAGAGGAAGGCTGGGGTGGCAAAAGTGGCTGAACTACTTCAACAAGAAAATTGAACAGGATGTCACAGACCAATGGTTGATTGTACAATAAAAAGACTTGATGAAAGAATCAGTAGCATAAAGTGACTTGTTTCTCCCTTTCTGCACCAGGGCGATATCTTTGATTTATCTTGGCTTTCACCGTCACTTAATCTTTTCTTCAGACATCCATAAGTCAATCCTGATAGTTCATCATTTTCGTTTTTGTTTGTTTGTTTTTATTTTATTTTATTT